TCAGAAGAACGCCCGCCGCTGCATTTTTCAGTCGGTGAGGTGAGGAGATTCGACGATGAAGGAAGGAGAAGGTGAGGTGAGGTCGGCGGGTGATTTTTGTAGATGGGGATGGGAGCGATAGGGTTTCAGAGTGGGGTTATGGGTTTTATATGTGGTTTTTTTGCTGGGAGGGCAATATATGAGGGTTGGTCGGTTTGAGTAGGTTTTTTCGGATAACCGCGGTTAATAATCGTCGGTTACTCGGTTATCCGAAGCTTTTTATTCTCCTCCGTGCACCGACCGAATTAATTTTAGTCTCGGTTTTCGGTTAGCCAAAAATTGGTCGGGTCGGTTGTAACCGACGGTTATCCGCTAACCGGAAATCGTACTGCCAGCCCTACTCTTATGCTTATAGATTTTGGTTAGGAATAAATACTCAACGAAACATGAATTTACCATAAAATGTAATTAGTCTAACTGATATGGACTTTGTTTTATGAACAAGTGATCCATGGTTCGAGTACATCCATGACCTTTTCTTTAAGGTTAATTTTAATTTCATCTCTTAAAACTAAGACTTTGTTCATATGTAACGAAATTTTCCTGACAAGCGAAATTTGTCAATAATGTTCTATATGTGACGACATTGTTTGCATATTATTGACGACATATAAAATCTTCAAAGAAAGTGTTTTCCTCACGAAGTTTTTTCAACGAAATAATCATTTGTGATGACCATTTTGTCCAACCACTTCTCTAACAAACTTCTATCGACGACCAAATACGTTCCCTCATAAAAATGTTTTGTTTTTCTGAGAGACAGGGAAATTCCTAACAAATAATACTATTTCCAACAATATTTTCTGATGAAAAATTTGTGTCCTCAAAAATAAAATTCAGGAATTTTCCCCTCCTTTTTTGGCGTCAGAAAAACAGATTATTTCTAACGCCTATTTCAATTTGGTCATAAATAATTTTTATTTGTGACAAAATTTGAAATGTCCTCAGTAAAATTGAGATGGTGTTCCTCGTATTTGCGATTTTGAGTTTTAGTGACAAATGTTTTGGGCTTTATTGACGACTTTTGATGTTCATCACAAATATTTTATGTTTTTATGAGGACGACAAATTTTTGTCACAAAAAAGTTTATTTCCAACAAAAAAATAGTGTCGTCAGAAGGATTTCGTCACTTCTGCCTGTCTTTTTTGTAGTGTAGGGGAAGAACTCCCATTCGGAGATTAGCAAAGGTAATTCCTTTAATCTTAAATGATTTGTCCGCCAAGAAAGGGAATTATGGGGTCATGCATGTATACATATAAATATGGGTAGTATGCTTATCTAAGTTCATGCATGCATGTAATTGGAAACGTGGTGGAGGTGAGTGATAAAGGGAAAAGTTAGTCTTTCTTTTGGAAAAGAAATTAATATGTAGTGGGTACTTTTTATGAGCGGTTAGGTGTAGGGAATAGAAGTTATACGTAATTATTAATGAATGAAATGGATTAGTAACTAGTGGTTAAGAAATTGGAATTCATGATTGGTATTATGTCTTGCATCATTTTTGGAAAAACTCAATTAAACTAATAGTTAGGTCATGCTAGCTTTTTAATTTAATCATAGAAACTTGTTTGAGGGGATCATGGTTAGTTGATATCCTATTAAACGTGTCTAAATGACTATGCTTAAAGGAGAGGAGCACCTCGGAGCTCATCTAGATCGAGGCTTATAGAGGAGCCAAGAAATTGTTAGTAAATCTTAACCTAATGCTTATATTAATATGATTATAGTATTCAGGTCATGAAGCGGCCCGAGTATAACGTGTATGATGGCTTGGTAAGACTTAAACCAATTATGATTGAATGTCAAGTGTGGCGTGGTTATATGATTGCATGAGATGAAATGATTGAATGACACTTTGATTGGATGAGGTTACCATATTGTGGTAATTATATGATGATGTGATGATATGATAACATGATTGTATGATGGTATGACCAGAAGGTCATAATACATGTTATGTGAGTGCTAAACGGTATTATGTGATGAGTATATATGAAATGTGAAATGACATTCAAGGCAGTCAAGTTAAAAGAATGGAGAGAAAGGTTGTCTATTGTGAATGATACGAGATGAGATAGAATGGCATGTGAGCCATACAAGTCAATGTGATATGTAATGGCCATTGGGTCACACAAGTGATATGTTGAGTTGTGACTAACTATAAGAATTGTATGGTCACCTAAAGCAAACGTAATGGCGCCCTGTCATGCACTCAATATAAGTGAAAAGAGGCTTCAAGCCTAAGAGATAAAAGAGTTATACGAGAACTCCTTTTAAGGGGTAATGCCAGGCCTGGCTACGATTTTATGAGATATGGCACGCTGTGCCCCACGAGTTAACGAGTTCATGAGATAAGGCACTTGGTGCCCACGAGTTTATGAGATTTGGCACTTTGTGCCTATGAGATTACGAGATCACGAGATTACGAGTTCACGAGATCCCGGGGAGTGCATGACTTGGCAAATTAAAGAATAAAAGCTACTGAATCCAGCTAACTATATTTATGTGTATGATTGGATGCTGATTCATTGTTGATTTTGGATGCAACATGAGTATGTGAATGCCAAGCTCGATATTTTTCATCTTTGTGTGATATATGATTGAGATGGCAATATTAGTATTTTCCATATTTGATATCATAGTGTTGTTTGTATGAAAATGGATGATGACTTGTATGTGTGCATACTTACTTTAATGATCATGTTGGTATGTGACATGTATTGTATAATATAATGCATGATGGTTTTCGGTATGATATATGGGCTATGACGATGTGATATAAAATGAGATATCGGGTACATGAAACAGGGAGTAACATTTGAGGTGCTAAAGTGAAATGATAGGCAAGACACCTTGCCTAGAACGAAAGTGCATGATTAGAATATGGAAATGGCCTATAAGGCACATGAATGAGAAAGGTCAGAAGATGGTTAAAAGTAGACTATCTGTATATGAAAGGGAAATTGATTGGCCTTAATGGCATACATGGAAATGTTATTGCATGGTCAACTAAACCAAACATAATGCTTGCCTTGTTATACACTCAACACAAGATATGGGAAAATGGAGAACATGGTATGATGACACCGGACGGGGATTCGTTCCGCGGCGGTATGTGATATGATGAGACTGGGCTGGGTACGTCCCGCAGTGGTATAATGGCACCGGGCTGAGATACGTTCCGCGGTGAAAGGTTTTATTAGAACCAGTGGTAATCCCTATTCCTATATCTTGGAAGAGTGTATGATTTGACAAGCTAATGAAGTAAAAGCCACTGAATCAACCTAACCGTGATGTGATTGAATCCTTGTATAAGGATTTCCTATGATGAGATTATGTAATGATTTCCTATGATCTGATATACAAAATGTGTATGTGGATGATATAGTTATGTGATGGTTTTCTATGTGTTTACTACATTGATATGATATTGGAGTGCGTGATGAAATGAATAGATGTGTGTGTTATCGAATGTAATCTCTTGTGCCGTGATCTATCTGTGATGTGGTATATGACATGTGTTGTGAGACTATGCTTGAAAATGACTATGTATTGTCGGTTGTTATAGTATGGTAAGTGATATGAATGTGTCCTGGATGATAGGAGAAGTACTTCGGGGGTACAACATCACTCGTCACTATTTTGGTATTGATGTTTGTATTAGGTTATTATTTACTCATTGAGTGACGTCTCACCCCCGTCAATATTTTTTTCCCCAGATTCAAAGGGATCGTGAAAGAAGAAAACAAATCGGTTGTCGTGAGGTGGATGGCGGAACTGAACTCTCCACATGTTTTTATTCGGTATATGAAATGATTGCTAGTGACGTGTCAATGGTGTAAGGGTGTTACAACGGGTATCTCAATGTGCACGCTATTATGGGTTGAGTTGGGTAATATCCTTGTGAGTATGGGTTGGAGTGGGTCGATCTACTCTTATATGTTATTATGCAAAATTTTACTTGTTACGATAAAACGAACTAATGAAGGGAAAAACATTTTATGAATGAAAAATAGTAATAATAGAATAAGTAATTGAGTCTAACTAGTTGAAAAATCGAATTTAACTAGTTGAACAAAAATCAAAATATGAGAAATATGAATAGATAGTTTAAGAAATTGAGATAAAATAGGTCAAGAACAGGACGAGGCAGAGCGGGTCGAAAGTAGATATCCATGTCCCGCCCCATGCTACTGCGGACCGGGTAATACCCACCCCATCACGGGTAATGTCAAGTAATACCCGTAGGACGGGTTCAAATTGTCATCACTATGTGTATGTAAATTAGTGTTTAATGAGACAGATTTAGTTACGTGACGAGTCTTAATGACGTGGCAGTCGAGTTTTATTTTTTGGGTTAAAATTGGTTGTTTCGACACTTATGTTAGCAATGTCAGCAAAAAAACATAAATCAAGATTGACAAAAGATAATGGTCAGTGATCAAATTTGGAGAATTTTACTATCAACTAATGGAATGAAATATAACAAACGTGAAATAATTTGATAATTTCAGTGACCAAACTTGCAATTTATCTTTAATTATAATGAAAACCATGGTTGTGATGCTAGTGGCATGATCAATTTATGAATGGTAAGTAAAATGATAAATTTTATTGCAAAAAAATGAATTTATTATATGTTTTATGAATACAAAAGTTAAAACTGATGTAATTAGTTGGATTTAGGTATAAATATTTAGCTATTGTAGTTAAATGTGTATTTAAATATATATATTTTATTAAGTCGTCATGAACCGATACAAACAGGTTGTACTGTTTGTATCATTGGTCTTTTCATTCCACTCGCTAAACCGACGTAGCGGTATAAATCGGTTTGACAACCTTAACTCAAAAGTCAAAACACAATGATATAATTGTAAAAAAAAAAAAACACACACACAATGATATAGAAACGGCGGCGTCTGACGGTAGTATTTTTCAGTTTTCAGTTTTCTCCATCTACAACGGGAGACGCTTCAAAATCAAAACCCTTCATTGAGTCTAGGGTTTTTGCCCTCTAAATCGAACAATGGTGTTGTCAAACAAGAAGCTGAAGCAGAAGCTAAGAGAAGCAAAGGCCGAATCTTTGGCTTCGTCCATATCGGGGGAATCAGTATCCAATGCAAATGGAGATGCGGGCGCGATTTTGGGGTTGCAGGAGCGACTGGATGCTGCAAAACAGAAGACGCGGCTGGCAAAGAAGGACAAGAGAAAGAATTCCCAAGGTCTAGAGAATGATGAAGGAAAGGGTCCAGCCAGCGTGAAGAAGGAAGTGATGGAGAATGGCGATGAGAAGAAGGGGGAGGGGAAGAAGAGAAAGAGAGAAGAGGGGAAGAGTGGCGAGAAGAAGGACGGCAAGCAGGCTAAAATGAAGAAGAAAAAGGATAAGAACAAGAACAAGAAGATCAAGGCAGCTGAAAATGGCGAGGAGGACAAGCAGTCCGCGGTTAGTGGTGGGGGAGTGGCCGAAGTAGAAATGAAAAGAGTTGTTGAAAGGTAATAAGCTCTTCTTGCTTGCTGGAGATTTAATTGTTATTTCATTTTCGTGGGGTTTTTTCCCCATGGCCTTTCATGATTCCGTGCTTCCTGTAAAGCTTTCCAGTAATTGATTTTGTTGAGGTGGTTTGTTTTTGTTCAATATCTGTTTTGTATGTGCTATTCGATTCTGCAAGGAGTAGTATGTAGTCATTTCTGGGTAGTCCTGGCTCCTGAAGTAGAAGATGTGACAATTTGATCACTAGAACTACATTGTGTCCTTGCAGTTCAGTGAAATTGGACACTGCAACAAAAGTTTATGTTGGGGGTATTCCATACTACTCAACTGAAGATGACATTCGGAGTTTCTTCGATAGTTGTGGTACCATCACAGAAATTGATTGCATGAAGTTTCCTGACAGCGGCAAGTTTAGAGGAATTGCCATTATTAACTTCAAGGTACTCAGTTCCTCTGTTTCCTTGACTGTACTTTAGTGCTTGCTACGCTGTATAAGTCTTCCTGAACTATCTTCTAGGGTATTGATGATTTTTCTTGGAGTTATTGGTGTCACTGTTTAGGATATGCAGTGGAAATAACTGTTGGATATTTCTCTTGTTAGCAAGTAACCATATGCATTCGCTTTCTGATCTGTAGTTGGCGTGTCACTTTCATCTATCTCAGATTTTGTCAAGTTCGTAACCTTGAGCTTTAAGAATGTAAACCAATAGAGTAGACTTGACTGGTAATCCCTTTCTAGTCATTGTTTCCCGAATAGACCTCCGTTTCCCCTGTTTTCAACAAATTATGACTAAATCTATGTATGTCAGTCCCACATTCTGTCTGCATTAGATCAAGTTTCCCCTTCCAGCTTTGAAAATTTCTTTAAAGATTTGTGTATTCAGTTACTATAATGATTCATTCATTCTTTCAGACTGATGCTGCTGCCAAACGGGCCTTGGATCTTGATGGAGCTGACATGTAAGTAGGCTTATGTAGTCTGGTAGTTACTAGGCTGCTGCTCATGTTCTTAAACCCATCCTAGAACTCATGTAATTCTCAAATACATTGCAGGGGTGGATTTTTCCTGAAGGTCAGGCCGTATAAGGCAACAACTCGACAAACTAAGGTCCCTGATTTCGTTCCACAGATTGTAAAAGGTTACAACCGGATCTATGTCGGGAACTTACCGTGGGATATTACAGAAGAAAACCTCAGGAAGTTTTTCTCAGATTGTACTATATCATCCATCCGTTTTGGCATGGACAAAGAAACAGGGGAGTTCCGAGGTTACGGCCACGTTGATTTCTCAGATGATGTGTCAATGATGATGGCACTGAAAATGGATCAGCAAATTCTGTGTGGCAGACCAGTTAAGATCAGTTGTGCAGTTCCCAGGAAAGCAGGAGAAGCCCGACCAAAGGATGGCCCTCGGCCTTCCAGAAATGACGAAGTAAGTAATCCTGAGGTCATTCCAACTCCTCCCGTCGCAGAAACTACTGCAGCAAGTATTGAAGCCAGCTACTATGAGATTCCTACAACTTCCATCGTCGAAGTTGTGAGAAATGAAGCCAGTAGCGAGGCACCAGCCCCTGTCAGTGGTAAGATAAAGAGGAGGACCTGCTATGAGTGTGGTCAAAAGGGTCATATTTCAACAGCTTGTCCGAATAAGCCTGATGTACCAAACCCCATTACAGATTGAACTGAGTCCAACTTCCTAGTCTTGCCTTTTCTTTTGCTCCCTGTTTCTGGGGAGAGAGATGCTAGGCCATCCAGAAATATTGTTTGGAGGTTATCTGGCGATCATGTTACTATCACAGTTTTGTATGCTAGAATTTTGATTTGTGAACCAATGACGGAAGTGTTAGTGGGTTAGTTTTGTTTATCTGTCTGTTTATACTACATGTACCAAGCAGAAAGTTAACAAGAGATTATTGAAATACCAGTTTTTGTTCTTGCTCTGAGATTGAGAGAACTGTTGTGGTTTCCTTCTCATGTTTTGACTTCATTCACCTGGTGGCTCTGCTACTTGGCTTTCTTAAGCTGATCTTATTTGCGATGCATATATGGCCGGTGCAGATGGTGCATGAATTATTAATCAGCTAAACCCTATGCTTGGTTTGTTAACATACTTGAATTTTATGCTGACGGTCTTTAAGTGGGCATGTTGTATTGCACAGCTTCCTGGCTGAGAAAGCAAGGGACAGGCTGCCCGGTGCTGCAGGTAATGCGCTTGCTTAACTTTTACCTTGAGACCTCTCCCCCTTTGCTAGAGACAAGAAATGGCATCCTGGCATCTTTGTATGTGCTCAATCTCTTACCTTTCACTTGGGAAGTTCCATTCATTGAAATGATTGGTTTCACTTGTATTAACAGAATGAAATCTGTGTATGTAGTGTGCAGCTGAATTGGATTGAATGGATGAAATTAGTGCAGACCGAATATAAATTGATTTGGTTCAGACTCTGAACCTTAAGTTTTCATATATATACATTATCGCCGCGCACCAATTCGGTTAGACCTTGGACCAAACTGGATCATGCACAAAAATCACATTTGGGTTTTAGGGTTCGGATTATATCATCAAGTGGGTATGATTTTTAAACACACTCCATTCCTTGTCTGCTTCTGAGAGGTCCCTATGCATTCAGGAGTCTTATCAGTAATCACCAAATAAACAATCATGCCATCAAGTGGATGTGATTTTAATTTTTAAACACACCATTCCCTTTTGTAGTTTTCTTATGGTGGTGAAAAACAGGTTGGGAAGTTGACACAAACTAAATCATTCTGTATCTGTCTCTTATTCCACAGTAGTTAGCTCAGACCTAATCCTATGCCATTATAAGAGCACTCTATCTTTCCCTCTGCTCCAAACCATATCTCTACTTGTTGCTAGTAGAAAATGGAATATGTTGGAAGAATAGAGTTGGCTACCCCAAGGATATATCACACAGACGATCTTACCCCTCCCCATCAAACTCTTGTAGATTACTTGGATCACAAACCTTCTCTCCTGACCTTAAGAACTGGCCTTAAGATCATAACCAGGAGAAAAGCAGCAGTCGTTTATCACATCGAACGTAACGGTCATCCTGAGCATCCTCATTTCTTGGAGGTCCCTATCTCTTCTAGTAAAGGGCTCTACCTCAAAGGTAAAGCTGCCTGATTCTGATCTATACTGGACTATTCTCGTCTATGAACATCGATATATAAATTCTGATGTTCTTGTTTCTGCAGATGTGATCAATGCTCTCAACTCGATCAGAGGTCCAGGCATGGCTAACATGTACTCATGGTCATCAAAGAGGTAAGCTTTGCTCATACAATCAAATGAAAACAAATGAATGGCGCTTGTTTGGGAAAAATCTAATGGCGAGATCGATCTTTTTGATTGTTTGATTGGGTTGTAGGAGGCATGGGAAAGGATTTGTGTGGAAAGACTTGACAGAGAACGACTTGATACAACCATGCAGTAATGATGATGGTGGCAATGACAATTACATTCTGAAAGGGTCGCCAGTCCCTGAGCTCTTCTCCACATGGAACTTGAGATCCCCTGCTGCTGACACTCTAACATCTTCAGCCACATCCAAAGGATCCTCCGACGACATCGACACCTCTAGCCTGAGCGACGATGACGACTTCGATTCACCAGTCATCAGAGGGAAGAGCTTTGGCTGTGGCACCACGTTTGTCGATGCTGATGTTAATCAACATCGGCGGGATAAGCTGCCACCACCTCGCACGTTGACCATCTTGACCAATGAGATTGATGAACTGTGCTCTGAATTTCCATCACCAATGGATGGTGATGGTGATGTTGGTGCAGCCAAGAAAGTTGATGCAGAAGAAGCTTATTGCAACCACCATGAAACTCTTCGATCTGCTATGATGAGAACTACTACTGACAGGGTTTCTCCTTCTACACCTGCTGAATCAATAGCCAGAAAGCCTGCTGCAGGGAGAGTTGGGAGGCCGAGGACAACCGACCTTCTGTGGACTCTGGTGAGGTGTGGTCGTGTGGATCACGTTCGATGAGGTGAAAAAGAGATGGACAAATGAAGATGGTGATGAAGAAATGAAACCAAGGGCAAGGAATGTTTACTTTGATGATCAAGAATTCACGATGACTATTGAGGTTTTTTTTTTTTTTAATAAGATGTATGATGTTGTAACACATGTAAGGGTGGACATGGGTCTAAAATCATATCAAATTGAGATAAAATCGAATCAAACTTAAAGAAGAATTGAGGACCATAACCGAATCAAAAGTATGTTTAGTTTATTTGGCTTGACTCAGTTAAAGTTCAAATTCAATTTCGATCCACTTTTTTTATACTTAAAGATAATTTGTGGGATTGAAACAGTTCGATTAGATTCGATTGCGTCCATATATTATTAGATATAATTCGTCCGATGTAGGCCAGATCGTTGCCCACCTCTAAACACATTAATCATCTATATATAAATATATTAATTATTATCTGAATCTGTATTGCAAAGACTTGTAAGCGAAAAAAAAGTTATTTGTGAGCAGGGCGGACCTAGGGCTAGAGGTGTCAATCGGGCGGGTTCGGGCTGGGTTCAATCGGGTTGCGGGTTGGTCGGGTTGCGGGTCGATCGGGTTGCGGGTTGGTCGGGTTCGGGTTCATCGGGTTTCGGGTCAATCGGGTTGCGGGTCAATCGGGTTACAGGCCAATCGGGTTGCGGGCCAATCGGGTTGCGGGTCAATCGGGTTACGGGTCAATCGGGTGCGGGTCAATCGGGTTGCGGGTCGGGCGGTTCGGGTTGCGGGTTTCACGATACTGGTATTTCATGGTTGAACCGCCGATACGGTACGATTTAATGTACCATGGTCCATGGAAATTGGCATAATGAACAAAACAAACATTAAGCCAAACAGGCAAAGGCCCTGATGGTGGTCATGAAATTTTAGAATTGGCGCCTTCACCCGGGAAATGTAAAGAGTTTGGCGCCTGATGGTGGATGGTCATGAAATTTTATAGAATTGGCAAAGGCCCGGGAAACAAAAAATCATTTGGCGGGTTATCAAAATGAAACGGTTTTCTTAAATTTCTATTTTCTAGCTATTGGTGAGGGTATTATCTTCTCGTTCTGTGATTTTATTTTAGATGGGATCTCGTTCTATGATTCACATGTAATAATAATGAGGAAAATATGGATCTCGTTCTAGATGGGAAGAGAAGGCTAAAATACACGTAAATAAATTGTCGTGATTATAGTTATATAATCAATTACGGAAAATTTTACCGTGAATATTAGTATACTTCTTAGTACGGGAAACACTACCGTGAATAAGATCCCGTGACTAAAAACTAGTTTTCCTGTAGTGCTTATACCCTAACCCATTAGACTAACCATATCCCTATACATCGACTCTATAGTCTATATACCCTAAACCCCTAATGGTTTGATTCATGAACATATATTAATAAGAAAAGTTTATCTTATTAGTTATGATTTTGACTAACCGTGGTCAAACCATTAATATCTTATACCCTAACCCATTATATACCCGTTACACTAACCATATACCCTACCCTATACATCGACTCTATAGTCTATATACCCTAAAGGCCTAAACCCCTAATGGTTTGATTCATGAACATATGTTCATAAGATAAGTTAATCTTATTAGTTATGATTTTGACTAACCGTGGTCAAACCATTAATACCTTATACCCTAACCCATTATATACCCGTTACACTAACCATATACCCTATACATCGACTCTATAGTCTATATACCCTAAAGGCCTAAACCCCTAATGGTTTGATTCATGAACATATGTTAATAAGATAAGTTGATCTTATTAGTTATGATTTTGACTAACTGTAGTCAAACCATTAATACCTTATACCCTAACCCATTATATACCCGTTACACTAACCATATACCCTATACATCGACTTTATAGTCTATATACCCTAAACCCCTAATGGTTTGATTCATGAACACATGTTAATAATAAAAGTTGATCTTATTAGTTATAAGTTATTATTTTGAGTTTTTGACTAATCGTGCCTAAATCATTAATATTTAATACCTTATTAATTATAAGTTATTATTTTGAGTTTTTGACTAATCGTGCCTACACCATTAATATTTAATACCTTATACCCTAACCCATTATATCCCCTATACACCAACTAATATTTAATACCTTAATTTAAACAGCAACTAATATTTAATACCTTAATTTAAACAACAACTAAAAAAAGTAGACAGTTAATAATTAAAAAAAAATCTTCACTAGGTTTCGAAACACTAACCTCTGCTAATCAATAATTCACCAAACACCCATTAACCAACTCTGCTACCTCACAATTTGATACTTTGTGTTTTATTAAAGTTTTAACATCCACACTCGAAACTCAAAACTAAATGCAAAGAAAGAAGAAACTTCATTTGTCTCGTTCCATAACCATTTGCCAATTGGGATTTCGAGCCTGCTCCGCTGCTCGGCTGCTCCCAGAAAGAAAGAACCCTAAAATTCCAAAGTAAGAGTTCTAGCCGCCGCCTGCCATATCCGACCGCCGACCCTCTCCTTCGTCTCCGAGTCCTTTCATCTTCTCCTTCGTCTGCTCGGTCCGCTTCTTCTGTCGAAACAGGCCTTCGTCGCATGATTGTTTTGAGGGCCTTCGTCGCAGCGGACCGAAATCTCTGACCTCCTCTGCTGTCAGGCCTTCGTCGCAGAGACGACTTCCCCGAAGGTAACTCAGATTTCCCCTGTTGTGCTCTCCAGTAAAGTTGGGTTAGGTTTTACTGCTGTTTGTTTGACTATTTGATTTCTCCGTCGGGCAACTAATGAATGCTGGCCTGTGGAATTTTGATTCCTGCTGTTGGTTTGTTTTGAGGGTTCAATTTGGAGTTTTTGTTGCTTCCGTGTCCATTAGCTTGATTTGCAGGGGAATGTTGGGTTAGGTTTTACTAAAGCATGAATGGGGTTGTCCTCCCTCACCGTCCTCATGTGGACCTCGTTGATGACGTTCATGCGATGTGTCATATGGATCATAAGCATCACTTAGGTAGTGATCCGTCACTCAGCAGAATAAAATGACACCGTCTCCTGTTGTGGCGAACCCTCCAATCCGTTCGGCTCTTATTGGACGGTCTTGAATGCTTGAGCATTCTGTTTAGATGCATTAAGTAGTTAATTTAGCTTACCGTTGGTTCATCTTCTTAATTTCCTGCTGAATTTTACTTCCAATGAACTGTATGCTTCCCAACGTTCTCTGGCGTCAATTGATTTTCTTGCTGATTGTTTGTTGCCAGAGGAAAGAACAAGCATTGAGTCAATTAATGTTAATTGATGTTAATTGACGTTCATCTGCCTCCTTCTTTCCTTTTTATTATTAATTAATTGTCTTCCAATAAGAAGACCTTCTTCATTGAGTCAATTGATCAATTGATGTTTCTTCCTTCCTTCACTTCGATCTGGGGGAAATAAGTCCTTTTCCACGTTTCACATTCTTTTCAAGTGGTTTTGAACTCTTAGATTAAGTAGTATTTATTAACAAACTGACGTTATGCTTGGGTGATTTGGCATCCTGCTTGTATTCGGTACTTTACCCCCTTCCTTCACTTCTGATTGTTTGTCTACATCCTGCTGTTGTGAATTTGCAGACATGGATCCTAATAATTCGGGAAGTGGTGTTGGTAGTACTACTGGTTCTAGCCCTTCTTCACCCCCTAAAAAGAAGGCTAATTCTCGCCGCACATCGGAAGTGTGGGACGATGTAGAACTATTTAATGTCGTTGATGACGATGGAGTTCTTCTAGAGAAAGGAAAGTGCAACTTTTGTGGGAAGATATATAAGTCGGAGTCAAGGCTTGGCACATCTACTCTGAAGCGACATATTGCGGTATGTAAGAAACTCCACCAACCATCAAATTTAAGGAATGAGTCTACTAGTCAAAATTGCATAACTCAGGAAGGTTTTCGTGAGAAGTTAGCTATGTGCACAATTTCACATGATTATGTTTTTAGATGTGTTGAACATAAAGGAAATAGAGATGTGCATAGCTATTTGAATAGTCAGGCTAAACCTATTTCAAGGAATACACATAAATCTGACATTGTGAAGATCCATGAAAGAATGAAGGAGGAGTTAAAGTCTAGTTTGCAAAAGATTTCTAGTCGTATTTGTTTGACTAGTGATATGTGGACTTCATTGACAACTAGAGGATTTATATGCTTGATGGCTCATTATGTTGATGATGAATGGAAACTGAATAGCAAGCTATTGAGTTTTGCTCATCTTCCTCCTCCACATTCCTCTTATAGAGTGAAGACGACCATTTATCGTATGCTCAGAGAATGGAGTATTGATAACAAGATCTTCTCTATCACCTTGGATAATGCTAGCAATATGACTAACATGCAAAATGAATTGCGTGATCAGTTGAATGGACAAAATGGATTGTTGTGTGATGGCAAGTTCTTTCATATACGTTGTTGTGGGCACATATTGAATCTTATTGTCCAAGATGGATTGAAGGTGATAAAAGATGGTATTAGATCTGTGAGAGAAAGTGTAAAATATGTCGAAGGATCTGAAGGAAGGAAAATTAAGTTCAAGGAATGTGTTGAGCAAAGTGGGATGAAACAAACAAGGTCTTTGTGGTTGGATGTGCCAACAAGATGGAATTCAACTTATAATATGCTTGAGAGGGCAAATCATTATCGTCAAGCATTTGTAAACTTAGCAAGGATGGATTTTGAGTATAATGAATGTCCATCATCTGAGGATTGGGAGAAGATAGAAGTGCTTATAAATTTATTGAAGCCTTTTGATGAAATCACAAAGTTATTCTCTGGAACTAAGTACCCGACTAGTAATCTGTTTTTTTAGAATGTTTGGAAGATTCATCTTGAGTTGAGGCTTCTTTGTACAAGTCTAGATGATGATATACGTGCTATGGCAAATGCATTGATGTTGAAATTCTTGAAGTATTGGAAAGACTACAACTTGGTGCTTGCTTTTGGACAGGTTGCGGGTTGGTCGGGTTGCGGGTTGGGCGGGTCGGGCGGGTTGCGGGTCATTGACTTTTAGTCAAATCGGGTTGCGGGCGGGTTGCGGGTCGGGTTGATCGGGCGGGTTACTCGGGTCGGGTTACATTTTGACAGCTCTACCTAGGGCAAGGGAAGGGGTGTCGTCCGACACCCCACCGCCCGAAAAGTTTGTGAAGGACCTTCATTTTTCGGTACAAAATTTTTTAATT